AAAAACCAAAAAAAAAAAAAAAAAAAAAAAAAAAAAAAAAAAAAAAAAAGTAAAAAATAAAAGGTCTCAAGATTGGTCTTGTGCTAGAGATGTAACTCAATGACAAAGCTTGTCTAGCAACAAGCACAGTCTTGTTTGATCTCCAGCAAAACACACACACACACCACACCTAAAAAAAAAATTAGCACTAGCTGAGTGTAGTAGCATTAATCCCAGTGCTTGGGAGATAGGCAGGCAGATCTCTGGGTTCGAGGCCAGCCTGGTCTATTATAGAATGAGTTCCAGAACAGCCAGGGCTGCACAGAGAAACTCCCCGCCTCCCCCAAGTCTTTTCGTAGCTTCAGCTGTAGCTTTTTTTTTTTTTTTTTTTTTTAAAACGTGGAGGCCTTAGACTTGTAATGAATGAAACACATTTCCTTGGAGTAGTCTTCAGATAAGGAGTCCAATGTGTTACACTGTTTGATTTATGTTTAGTATCTGTGTAAGTGAAAAAGTTTTGTTTTTGGTAGTGTTGGGGAGTAGATCCAGAATTTCATGCACATATTCCAGGAAAGCATTCCACCGCTGAGCTACATGCTCAGGCCTAGGAAATTTTGGTTTGTTTACTTTGCTTCTTTTGAGACCTGGCTTCTCTGTGTAGCCCTGGATGGCCTGGAACTTGCACTCTGAACCAGGCTGGACTCAGACTTTCTGTAATCCTCCTGTTCTGCCTTCCAAATGCTGGGATTACAACCATGCATCACCACACCCAAGTGGGAATTTCTTTCTTTGTAGAATAAACCTGTTTGATGAGTTTTCAATAAAATATCAATGTGTTTTACAGGAGAATTTCCAGTAAAAATGGACAGTTACACATTAATATAGAACCAAATTAAAAAAACTGCACTTGGGGATGGAAAGATAGCTCAGTGATTAAGAGCACTGACTGCTCTTCCAGAGGAACAGGGTTCAATTCCCAGTGCCCACATGGCAGCTCACAATTGTCTGTAACCCCAGTTCCTCGGCACCCGACACCCTCACATGGACATATAGATAGGCAAAACAGCAATACACATAAAATAAAAAATAGCCGGGCGGTGGTGGCGCACGCCTTTAATCCCAGCACTCGGGAGGCAGAGCCAGGTGGATCTCTGTGAGTTCGAGGCCAGCCTGGTCTACCAAGTGAGTTCCAGGAAAGGCGCAAAGCTACACAGAGAAACCCTGTCTCGAAAAACCAAAAAAAAAAAAAAAAATAAATAAATAAATAAATAAATAAATTAAGCCTGCACTTATCAACTAAAAGTCACATTTTCAAAGTGTTAACATATTGATTTGGTCATTAACACAATATAAATTTGAATGTGAAACACCAGGGCATTAAAAATAATATATGTTGACTGGAAAAGAAAAGGAAGCTGTTTCCCATTTGGTTAAATTCTAGTTGTTGTTGTTGTTGTTGTTGTTTTTTCTCATGACAGCTTTTTTTTGTTGTTGTTCCTGAGACAGGGTTCCTCTGTGTAGTTTTGGTGCCTGTCCTGGATCTCGATCTGTAGAGCAGCCTGGAACTCACAGAGATCCCGCCTGGTTCTGCCTCTTGAGTACTGGGATTAAAGGCGTGAGCTACCACTGCCCGACCAGTAGCCAGGTGTGGTAACCCATTCTTTTTTTTTTTTTTTTTTAATGACAGCTTTTTATAATGTATCTATCTAATACCTAAAGCAAGTGCCAAAATAGGATTATGATGGAGTGGGTGTAAGTGATAGGCAAGAAAATTTATGCTACTCTGACATAAAATAGGCAAAATCTGATCAGGAATAGGAAGTAAGTGTCTTTTGTAATGTGGTAATTTATTTAATTAAAAACTTATTTTATTTTTATGTGTATTGAGTGTTTACCTGAATGTATTTCTGCGCATCATGTGTGTGCAGTGCGTGAGGAGGCCAGTAGAGGGCATCAGATCCCCTGGAACTGGAGTTACAAACAGTTATTGTGAACCACAGTGTGTGTGCTGGGAACACTGGGCTCCTCTGGAAGAGCAGCCAGTGTTTTTAACTGCCTACCCTTCTCTCCAGCCCTTTTTGTTCAGCTTTCTAGTTTTTTAAGTTTTGATGGTGCTAAAAATTAAGCCCAGAACTTTGTACTTGCTAGGCAAATACTCCTCCACTGCTGGGCCACATCTTTTGAAAGATTTTGCACCTTTATATGTAATGTACACACTAAAACAACTGCATGGTCTTTGGGTTGTTTTTTGGTTTTGATTTTCTTTGTTTTGTCTTGTTTTGGTTTTTTGAGACAGGGTTTCTCTGTAGCCCAGGCTGTCCTGGAACTCACTCTGTAAACCAGGCTAGCCTCGAACTCAGAGATCCCCCCTGGTTCTGTCTCTGGAGTGCTGGTTTTAAAGGCATGTGCCCCCACCAGCTGGTGTTTACATGGTCTTTGTATACATATATCAATATTGCTTATTAATCTGCATATCTCTACGGAAAAAGGTTTTTGGTTTTGGTTTTTGAGATAGTCTTACTGTGTAATCCTGGCTGACCTAGAACTCTCTATGTAGACCAGGTTGGCCTCAACTTAGATCCACCTGCCTCTGCCTCCCCTCTACATCCCCAACACTGGGACTAAAGGTATTTTCAGCTGGGCGTGGTGGTATATACCCTTCACTCCAACACTCAGGAGGCAGAGGCAGACAGATCTGAGAGTTTGAGGCATACCTAGCTAGTGTTAGGCTAGCCAGTTACATGGTGAGACCCTGTCTCAAAACAAAACAAAAATAAAACAAAACAAAAATAAAAAATAATACAGAGGTGTGTGCCGTTATGCCTTGTTTCTTACCAGAGTTGTTTTATTTTATTTTATTTTTTTATGTTTATCACCTCTGGTAGAGATCATCAAATACCACTAAATACAGAGCCTGACATACCTGCTGAGTTTAAAAGTTTTTCTTCCAGGTTCACTGAATGCTTCCTTCTCTTCACAGTGACTCCACGTCTGGAATATGGCTATGGATTGGCTAGGCAGTATTGTGTCAATCAACTGTGGCGAGAGCTTGGGTGTCTATCAGGGAAGAGTGTCAGCAGTGGATCAGGTCAGCCAGACCATTTCTCTTACTCGGCCCTTCCACAATGGAGTGAAGTGTCTTGTACCAGAAGTCACCTTTCGGTAAGTGCCCTGACTGACACCCTTAAAAGCCCAGCCTGGTGGTCTGTGGTGCTGGATCAGGGTCTGACTGACAGTGTTTTCTCGGCTGGGTTCTGCTTTGCACTGAGTCTTGTTAGGAAGGAGAGTTCATGGTCTTACAGGCCTTAGAGTTCTGTTGCTAATCTCACTGGAGACTTTGTGTTATAGTACAGTTTCAAGCTAATGAGTTAGGGTCGTGAAACCTGTTTCTTACCTCTGTTAGACATGGAATTTTATTTAAATTCAGCATAACTTTTATAGTTTCAAAGTTTTTTTTTCAGTATTGTATTATATGTGCTTTCTCATCAGTTTTTTCCCCCCTTGGCATACATGTGTTTGTAGATTTGTGTGATTTATCCTCAGAAGCACACTGTAGCCAGTGACTAAAGTCCTTAGTTACGGGTAGTCTTTTCTTAATATCTGCCAATAGAGCTCATCTCCCCCCCCTTTTTTGGGGGGCTTTGTCCGAGACAGGGTTTCTCTGTCCAGGATGTCCTGGCATTCACTCTGTAGAGCAGGCTGGCCTCGAACTCACAAAGATCTGCTTCCCTCTGCCTCCGAGTGCTGGGATTAAAGGCGTGCGTCACCACCTCCCGGCTGAGCTCATCCACTTTGATCTTCACATTCCCATCTTCATCACTTTGAGAGTCAGCCTCTTATATTTATGTTCCCAAAATGAGTCTGTCAGGTGTGAGCTTCCTTATTTTCTGAGCAATTCCTTCATATTTATGCCTGTACAACCTTTTGGGTGAATACCTATATTTTTCTTTTTTTTTTTATTTAAGATTATTAGATTATTTTTAATTATGTGTATGTACATGTGTCTGGGGGTATATTGAGTTACTTGAAGAGGCCAGAAGAGGGTTGGATGCATTGAAGGTAGAGTTATAGGCCAATGTGGCGCTGAGAACTGAACTTGAGTCCTCTGTAAGAACAGCAAGTGCTTTTTTTTTCTTTTTTGGTTTTTCAAGACAGGATTACTCTGTGTAGCCCAGGCTGGCCTCGAACTCACAGAGATCTGCCTGCCTCTGCCTCCTGAGAGCTGGGATTAAAGGCGTGCGCCACCACTGCCAGGCGCAGCAATTGCTCTTAACTGTTGAGGCATGACTCTATCCCAGGTGTCCCTGAGCTTAACTGCTTTCCTTTGTGGCCCCTTCTGTCTGGGCTGGTCCTTTCGTTTGTGCTGGAGATGCACTCTGCCTCCTTCGAGACCTTACCTCATCTCTTCTGTGTCTTGAGCATCAACCTTTGTTGTATTGTCTCTTTGTTTTCTAATGGTTGACCTCCCTCCCCTCGTGGGAAGCCCCCTCCCCCATTTCCCACTAGGTGAAGGCAATGTCCCATCCTTTCTCTTCCCTTTATATCCATACTCTTGTTTAGATGAAAGTAATTTGCCTTTACTCAGTTTTTCAGCTTTATTTTTCTGGTCCCTTGTTTGTTTTTCTGTCATCAGCCTAGATGATCTTTTGCCAGGCTCACAGACAGCTGGATTGTCAGGTTCAGACATGCCCCCTTCTCTTGGTTCTTCAAATTGCCTCTAAGATTTTTTTCCCCAAGTTCAAAGATTGGTTTATTCTGGGTTCTGTCTTTTTCTTAAAATTGGGCCAGAGCTTCTAAACTTTTTCTCCTTAAACACTCTTTTTTCTCAGATCTTGAGACAGGGTCTCCCTATGCAGCCCAGGCTGGACTGGAACTCACGTAGTTCTGCTGGCCTCTGCCTCCCCACTGGGATTAAAAGAATGCCAGCCACCATGTCTGGTTCTTCGACATTTTAAAGTAACTATAGCACACAGGCCTAGAAAGTAGGTATACAAACAAAATATCTACTGCTATTCAATCATAAAGATATTAATTTTAAAATAATTCTTTGGTATACTTATAATTTTACCACTTATTAAATGTGAAGTGTATTGGATACTAATGAGTTAGGTGGGTTTGTTTATTTTTACGTAAACAAACATTTTACAGTCAAGCTTCGATGAATATTTGGTGCTGTACTACACAAAATATTTTCATTTTTTTCATGTTAACTGATAACACTGATTTTATAATTGTCAGTGCTGGGAATGCCAACTCACATGTGTAACATAAAATGGAAGAAGTGTATTTAGGGATATTTCAGAAATTATTGGATCTATTCTAAGCCAAAATTCATTTTAACTTTCTTTAAAATACTTATGTGCCAGGTGGTGTTGACACACACCTTTAATCCCAGAACTTGGGAGGCAGAAGCAGGCAGATCTCTGAGTTCAAGGCCAGCCTGCTCTACAGAGTGAATTCCAGGACATCCAGGATTTTACACAGAGAAACCCTGCCATATGGCAGGAGAGAGCTTTAGACAAAGAATAAGGGTCCTTTCTGACTCTTTTGAGACAGGGTCTATGTAGTCCTGGCTGTCTTTTAACTCTTTATGTAAGCCACGCTAGCCTCAGAATTGTGGTGATCCTGCCTCTGCCTCCCAGATGTAGGGCTCTAGGCAGGAGCCACAATGCCTTGCTGGTTTCTCCCTCCTCCCAGTTACCATGGGAAAAGCCCATTGTACTCATGATCTGGATCCTGGTTATCACTTTATTTTCCTCATGGTCCTCTATAAGCGTTCTTTTCTTATATAATACTGTAGGCAACATTGGAGGTTCTTCCTGTGGATGACATCACATTTTCGTAGCTGAGATGCCTTTCTCTCTACTGTTCTCTACTTGACTCGCTTTTACCCTCTCCCACTGTGTACACCCTAGATATAGCTTAAATCGTTCATATGCAGATGAGTTCATTATTTTGTTTCTGGGCTCTCTCGTGCCCTGTGCTTATCTCTGTCTTGGCATTTGACACTTGATGGTTTACGTTTGTCTTTTGCAGTGCTTAGACTGAGTTGTTTATAAGTATGCACTGCACTTGTGTGTGTCCTGCTCCTAGCCCAGTGCTTACCACATAGTAAGGACGCTATATATGCTTGTTGAATGAGCGAGTGGGTGAAGGAAGTTTAAAAAGCCACTAACAGTCTTCAAATCTAAGATGGCTATAGAGTTTTGTTATTAACAGCTTCTCTCTAAAGGCCGGCAGGGTGTGAGTTCAAAGTTGGTGCCTGAGCACTGTCTTTAAATGCTCTGCTACCTTTCCTAGTTTTTACTTCTGATAACTCCCCGAAGTGCAGCTTTGCACAGGGTAACTGATTTCCATTTATCCTAGTTTTATCCTTACCACTTTCCTCTTGCTATTATAATTTTGAGACTTGTACTTTTGTGTATTTCAGGGCAGGTGATATTATAGAATTGAAAATTCTGGAGATACCAGGTCCTGGAGACAAGCAGCAGTTTGGAGACCTTCATCAGACAGAATTGGGCCCTTCTGGTGTTGGGTACCAAGTGGGTATCAATCAGAATGGTACAGGCAAGGTGGTCAAGAAGCCAACCTCTTCCAGCAGTACCCCTCAGAACATCCCGAAGAGGACAGATGTGAAGAGCCAGGATGTTGCCGTTTCTCCTCAGCAGCAGCAGTGCTCGAAGAGTTACGTGGACAGGCACATGGAGTCCTTGAGTCAGTCCAAAAGCTTCCGTCGTCGGCACAACTCTTGTAAGTACCGTCACATTGCCCCTTTCGTAACCTAGTATTTCAGGGCTGTGAGCCCTTACCTGCTGTTGCTCTCAAGTGACTCTGTTATTTTATAAAAGGGAGCACTGCCCGAGTTTCACAAAAATACAGTATGCATCTGTTTCTAGGGCTAGTCCCTTAAGATGCCAAGGAAGAGAAAATGAGTTATTGGAGGTATACCTAAGCTTCTCGCCAGCTCTTCCACTTTCCTTCCTTCAGGAAAAGTTGGGGATCTGTGTTGGTGTTTTAAATCTAATAACTGATGGTGGTTGTAATGTCTGAATTGACTCTGCTTGGGCTGTTGCAGTTAATTCTTGTAAGACTTCCGTTCTCAGAGAGGAGAGGACTAGTGTAGGCATCACTGTTACCATCATTTCTGACGCATTGATGATTTTATTTGTTTGTTGAGGTGCTATGGATTGAACTCGGAGCTTTGTGCTTACCTGGCAAGCATTCTGCCACCAAGCTCCATCCCTAGCCCAAACTAACTATTTTACTTTTATTTCTTTTTAAAGCACATTTGTGTGTGTGTGTGTGTGTGTGTGTGTGTGTGTGTGTGCGCGCGCGCGCGCGTGTGTGCGCACATATAAATGCAGGCGGAGGTCAGAGCACAAATGGTAGGAGTTGGTTCTCTCCTTCCATCATGTGAGTCCTGGGATCACACTCAGGTTGACAGGATTGCCGTCAGGCACCTCTATATTCTGAACTATCCACTGGCCCTCAGACTGATCATTTAAATTCTGTTGTGTTTACATCCCCATTAGAACATAGCCGAGAGCATGTGCTGGTATACATTGATCTCTAATCTTGTTTGCTAGTAACAGATTATTGAATTCCACAGGCTGATTATAGAACCATAGATGGGTCACTAGAACCTGTAATGGTTTTCTTGGAGGGGAGTTGGTTTTTGTTTTTTCGAGACAGGGTTTCTCTATACAGTTTTTGTGCCTGTCCTGGATCGCACTCTGTAGATCAGGCTGGACTCAAACTCACAGAGATCTGCCTGGCTCTGCCTCTCAAGCACTGGGATTAAAGGTGTGAGCTACCACTGCCCGGCCAGAACCTGTAATTTTTTTAACATGTCTGCTAGAGTAATGTAATTTTGACACATAACAGATTTGTTCACATCTGTTATTGTTCCTTAAATACACATGAATGTTCTTTTAAAAATTCCTGTAGATATAATTCTAAACAGTCTTACTAAATAAGAAACACAGAGCCAAATAAAGAGTTAAAAGCCCAAGAGGTCAGAGCACTAACGAATAGCCTTTAGCTTACCAGCCGCTGCCCTCCTTCCCCTGAGAAAAGAGACCTACTTCCTATGTGTCTGTATTTTTATTGACTTTCTGTTCTGCCTTCTCATTGGTTCTAAACCCAACCACATGACTTCTTCATCACTGCCTATCTACACAGACCTTCAGGTCTCTATGGTTGGTACTTGGATCACAGGCGTGTGTCACCAAGCTGGCTATGTCCTTGAACACACAGAATTTGCCTGCCATGTGATCTGAATTAAGGGCATGTGCTACCACTGCCAGACTTCTGCTAAATGGCTTGCTATTAGCTCTGACCCCCAGGCAACTTTATTTATTAACATACAAATAAAATCACATTTCAGCACAAATAAAATATCACTATAAATTCCTTCTACGGAGGCTGGATAGTCAGCTTGATGGTAAAGAGCACTCATTCTTATAGAAGACCCTGTTTTGATTCCTAGCACCCAAATGGTTTACAACTGTCTGTAACTCTAGTCCTAGGGGATCCAATACCCTTTTCTGATTTCCAAAGGCACCAGGAACACATGTGGTACATGTTACCTACATGTAGGCAAAACACTCATAAAGTAATAAAATAAGTACAATTTTAAAGATTACTTCTGGCCTGGAAAGACAGCTCAGTAGCTAAGAGCACTTTTGCTGTTCTTACAGAGGACCTGAGTTCAATTCTCCACACCTGAGTCAGGTAGCTCACACTGCCCATAACTTCAGCTCCAAAGGCCCTCTTCTGGTTTCTTTGGGTACCTGCATACATATATGCATAGATACACATACATATAAATTACAAATAGATATTTAAAAAATTACTTGTAAATGATAAATTGTTTGTCTTAGTTAGGGTTACTATTACTGTGATGAAACAAAAGCAACTTGGGTAGGAAATGGTTTATTTAGCTTACACTTCTACATCATAGTTTATCATTAAGGGAGTCTGCTCTTCCAGAGGACCTGAGTTCAATTCCCAGCAACCACAAGGTGGCTCACAACCACCTGTAATGAGATCTGGTGCCCTCTTCTGGTGTGCAAGAATATATGCAGACAGAACACTGCACACATAATAAATAAATGTTTTTTTGGTTTTTTTTTTTTTTTTTAGAAGAATAGTGTGCTGGATAGTTTTGTGTCGTCCTGACACAGGCTGGAGGGAACCTCAATTGGGAAAATGCCTCCATGGAATCGGGATGTGGGCAAGCTTGTAGGGCATTTTCTTAAGTTAGTGACTGATGGTGGACATTCTGGGTGGTATCATCCCTGGGCTGGTGGTCCTGAATTCTATGGGAGGGCAAGCTGAGCAAGCCATGAGGAGCAAGCCAGTAAGCAGCACTCCTCTGTGGCCTCTGCATCAGTTCCTGCGTCTTTCCCAGAACCCTCAACCTACCTATTCCTTCATTTGTAAGTTACACCATTAAATAAATCTCCTTTTTACTACGTGGAGTGGCCTTAATAATTCCACCAATAGATGTGCTTCATCTATTTCCCATTCTAGAAAGTGCAGGGCTGTGATTTGGGAAATAACCAGAATGTCTCTAATATTGTCAGGCTTTCTGTCATAAATTCTGAGTCTAGAACTAAAATATTTTCAGTTTGACTATCGGGTATCCCTTAGAACCTTAAGCGTAGGACAAAGTTTCCTTTTACAATAGATGTATGACAAAAGCCAGTTAGTGACCCCGAGGGTTACACAACAGTGGGTTTGTTACAAAATGTCCTGGCCAAAGGGCCTGGGTATCAAAGGCTGGCAGGAAAATGGCACAGGAAAGCCAGTTTCCAGTCGTACATGCTTGGCCCTTGTTTGAAAGGTATACAAACCTGGGAAGTACTGCTTATCTTTTCCAAGGGAAGTTCCTTGTTCTCTCAGTGGCCAGAGGCCAGCTTGCTTAATGCACAGCCAGACCCATGGACTAAGTGAGCCAAGTACTGAGCAAGCTTATTCACAAAGAACTTCCAAGAATTTTGTACTGAAGTATGAAAAAATGGGAGGCTAAGAAAAGTGACTATCTTACCTGCTTTTCAGTTTTTAAAAACACGTTTTGTTTTTCTGGTCATTTTTTTTCCTGACTTGGGATATCAGTATTTTCTTGGAAAAAGAATATTGACAGTATTGAAAAAAATAGATCATACTTAGAGTATGGCTCTTGAATGAATAGTCTTGTGGAGAGAAAGACACAAGCAATAGATTCTTGAAAACTAAACAAACAGCTCTGGGTACAAGTTGAATTTGTAGAGTTCTACAGCCAAGCCAAAAATAGTGTCCAGTGCCCAGAGTCTTGAGAGCGAACAGCATTTCCTACCATGAGCCGCGCTGCCTCTCTAGTGGGGTGTTTTGTCAGCACGCTGAGAAAGCTGTGCAGCCGTCTGGGGTTGCTTTCTTTGATTTTATACTTGGCATTTCAGTAACTCTTTGTTATCTAGGACAATATTGAGAACACACTATTTATTAACTTGTTGTTGACCGATACTACTTCATTAAGTTTCTTGTATTCAGATTATACATTTCTGTGACAGTCATAAGAGCTCTTGATTAGGGGCTGGAGAGATAGCTCAGAGGTTAAAAGCACTGGCTGCTCCTTCAGAGGTCCTAAGTTCAATTCCCAGCAACCACATGGTGGCTCACAACTATCTCTAATGAGATCTGTGCCCTCTTCTGGCCTGCAGGCATACATGCAGACAGAACACTGTATACATAATAAATAAATAAATCTTAAAAAAAAAAAAAAAAAAAGAGCTCTTGATTAGCTCAAAACTTTTACCCCGCGTTTGTATTATATACATTAGATATGAGATGTAAAATACAAATACAAAAGCTGAGTGTAGTGGCGGATGCCTGTTTGCTGGGAGGGTTGAAGACAGGAAGATCCTGAGATCTAATCTAGCCTTGGCTATGGAGAGCCTGTTTCAACATTAGCAATAAAACAAATTAAAAAGAATTAGTCTAGAAGCCAGGCACAGTGTACATGCCTTTAATCCCAGCACTTGTGAGGCAGGGGCAGACAGATGTCTGTGAATTCAAGGCCAACCTCGTCTATATCAAGTTCCAGAACAGTAAGGGATACATCAAGAGACCCTGTCTGAAACAAAACAAAACAAAAAAATATTTAGAGGAGATAAATAAAGCACATGCCTAATGAACATAGTGCCTGAGCTTGCTCCCCAGTACCACCAGAAAACTCTCCCAAATGGTTCAGACAATGTGGCACAAATCTATAATCTCACCATTTTTGAGGTTGAGACATGAGGATAACTAGTTTGAAGGTAGCCTGTGATACATAACAAAACCCTGTCTCAGCTAAATCTAAAATGATGAAAACTCTAAGGGTGTAGCTCAGTGATGGAACATGTGCTTAAAATATGCAGGGTCTTAGGTTCCCTCCTGAGTACCAACACACACACGGTGATAGCAACAACAGACAAAGTGATGGTGATGGGGGATGTGAAAATGGTGAACTTTATGTAAAAAGCCATGGAATTTAGTCTAGCCACTTCTTATTTGTAGTGGTTTATAATCTGTTGTTAATGGGTCCCTCTACTCTTTCCCATCATCATGTTTTGTTTTGTTTTCTCAGAGACCAAAGTCACATGTTCCCTACTGGCACAACTTTTCTATACTGAGGCGTTAGAAGAACAACACGAGTTATATTTGTATAGTATAAACCCTTCAGAATAATGTTAAAATGGCCTCACTAGTGTTGATTAATTTGTTAGTTGTTTATTGACTGCCTAGAAACTGTGCTGTAAATATTTTGCTTAATGGAAATTGAAGCCCTAGGAAGTTGAACAGCGAATATATGATTATATATAATTCTTGCTTTTTGTTTTTGTTTTTATTTTTTTTTTTTTTTTTTTTTCTTTTTTTCCGAGACAGGGTTTCTCTGTGTAGCTTTGCGCCTTTCCTGGAGCTCACTTGGTAGCCCAGGCTGGCCTCGAACTCACAGAGATCCGCCTGGCTCTGCCTCCCGAGTGCTGGGACTAAAGGCGTGCGCCACCAACGCCCGGCTTGTTTTTGTTTTTAAAACGATCTCATGTAGCCTAGGCCAATGGGTGACCTTGAGTTTCTGTCCTGCCTCCTCTTCTCAAATGCTTGGATTACAAGTGTGCCCCACCATTCCCAGTCTTAGTGGTGCTAGGAGTTGAACCCAGGGGTTAGTGCATGCATGGCAAGTACTCTGCCATCTGGGCTTCAGCTACATCCCCAAATTATATAACTGTGCATGTACATGGTGTATGTATGTATGTATGTATGTATGTATGTATGTATTCATGTGGTAATACGAATGTGTGCATGCCAGTACACATCCACATGTGCATGTCGTGCCAGAGGTCAACACTGGATATCCTTTTTCATCCCTTTCCGCCTTATTTTTTGAGACAGAGTCTCTCTCAATGAATCTGGAACTCACTGATTTGGCTTTCAGGGATCCTTCAGTTACAGATGCATCCACTTTTGCATCCAGCTTTTACATCAGTACTAGGGGTCTAAACTCAGGTCCTCATGTTTGCTTGTACGCACTTTAATGGCTGTCATCTCCTCAGCTCCTAGATTATGTAGCATTTTGGTGACAAAACTAGATTGAAGATCTCCTAACTCTTGGCACGTGGAAGGGTTGTGAAAAGGGAACCGTACAGTTGAGCGCAATGAGTTGCCTGCCTGTATGTGTAGATGTCATTTATTCTGTGAGTGGTAGGTTTGGAGAACTCGTCAGGGCTTCCTCTTTGACTGCTAAGAGTAGTGTTGATGGCTATGTAGCAGCCAAGTAGGGCCTAAGGGAGAGTGGCTGGTTGCTGCGGTGTTGGTATTTATTTTGCTGTGGTCACTTGTCTTTGATCGTCCAGAAAATGGTTATGTATAGAAGAGATAAAGTTCTGAGAAAAGAGCTCATAGTAACCAAAGATTGGATCTGTTGTCTGGATTCTTACCTGCTGTGATCTAGCCTGAGCATAAATTAAGTTAGATAGGACCCTAGTAAGTGTACTGAGAAGAACTGAACGATGTCTCCCTGGGGACCTTTTTTCTTCCTTGGTGGCAGCAGCCATCCTGGCCTGAGGACATGCTGCTGCTCTTGCTGTTCCCCTTCTCATTTGGTAAACTTCCGTTGCCTTGTTGGTTGTGCACATCTGTAATCCAAGCTGTTTGGGAGTTCAAGGCCAGCTTTGGGGGGTGTATTGATAACCTCATGGACAAAAAGCTTCTGTTATCACCTCTTCCCTTATGAAAGGCAACACTGATTAAGATTTGCAGTATTGGGGTTGGGGATTTAGCTCAGTGGTAGAGCGCTTCCATAGCAAGTGCAAAGCCCTGAGTTCGGTTCTCAGCTCTGGAAAAAAAAAAAAAGATTTGCAGGAGTATTGTTCATTTCATGTTTAGTTATTTGGGTGATTTTTTCAAATTTATTATTCCATATGAAGCTTGTGCTCTTGCTCTCCTTGCTACTTAATGTGACTTAGAAATACCCTTTGATCCCTGCACACTGACTTTGTTCTTTATGTATCCCCCAGGGTCATCTAGTAGCAGGCACCCAAACCAAGCAACCCCAAAGAAAAGTGGTTTAAAGAATGGCCAAATGAAGAATAAAGATGATGAGTGCTTTGGAGATGACATTGAGGAGATCCCAGACACAGATTTTGACTTTGAGGGGAACCTGGCCCTCTTTGACAAGGCAGCTGTGTTTGAGGAGATTGACACCTATGAAAGGAGAAGCGGCACCCGTTCCCGGGGTGTCCCAAGTGAACGGCCTGCTAGGTACCGCCACGACGAAAACATCCTGGAATCAGAGCCTATTGTCTACCGTAGGATCACGGTGCCGCACAGTGTGAACAAGGAATTCTGCACTGGTGAGTTACATTGAGTCCACCATGGGCTACTTTTCCTTTTGATTTTGCTTAAAATAGTAAAACTCAATTGTTTGAAAGCCAGCATTGCTGGATGGTGGTGGCGCACACCTTTAATCCCAGCACTCGGGGCAGAGGCAGGTGGATCTCTGTGAGTTCAAGGCCAGCCTGGTCTACAGGGTGAGCTCCAGGACAGACTGCAAAGCTACAAAGAGAAACCCTGTCTGGGAAAAAAAAAAGAAGGAGGAGGAGGAGGGGAAGGAGGAGGAGGAGGAGGTCAGCATCTTGCATTCTTGCATCAGAAGTTAGTGAGTTGGGGGTTGGTGCAGTGTTACTGTCTTGGGGACAGTGACTAACTTAGCAGTTTCAATACTTGTCCCTTTATGTCCTGTATCTGGCAGATTCCGTGTTAATTTTCAGTCTGGTTTCCCTGATAACTGTCTGTATATTTCATCAGAAATGTAGCTCTACTTCCTAGTTAGTGGCTGATGCAGGAAGAATTGAAGTTGGATAAAATCCATGGGCTAAAATTGGAGTTTCAAAGAATTCAACATTTGTTTGTCCTCCTGCTTTTATCTCCCAGTAGCCTTCCTTGGTCATTGAGAGTTTGGCTGGTTAAAATGCTCACCTAACAAAGCAGTCCCGTTGTAGTTATGAAAGCCACTGTATCATAGTGTAATTCTCTTGCCTTAGTCATTTTCTTTTAGGTTGATTTACTTTTTAATTTGATGTGTGGGTGTTTTGCTTGCATAGATGTCTGTACATGTATGCAGTGCCCTTGGAGCCCATAAGAGGGCACTGGATTTCCTTGAAACTGGAGTTACAGTCAGTTTTGAGGAGCCATGTAGGTGCTGGGAATGCAACCCCAGTCTTCTGGAAGAGCAGTCAGTACTCCAGCCCCTCCCTCAGTTAGTGTCAAGGGTTTGTTTTGGGTTAGACAGGGTCTCACTATGGAGCCCTGGCTGGCCTGGTCTACCAACTGCCTATTCCTGCTGCAGCTCTCTGTGCTGTGGTCCCTGTGACTCTGCACAGGTGGTTGGATTATGAATTGTGTGGTTTCCTGGAATTATTTAGACCACAGGAATTCCTGAGTTTGGGAAGATTATGATCTGTCTCGTAGTTAAGTGACTTAAAAGGTAAGAGTCCATAGTGAGAATGAGGAAAACATTTCAGATCCTGAAGAACCTGAGAAAACATTTCCTAAAGAAACCAAAATAGAGGTGCTAATTTGTCTTAGGGTTAATATTGCTGTGCAGAGACACTATGATCAAGGCAACTCTTACAAAGTAAAGCATTTAATTGGAGCTGGCTTACAGTTTCAGAGAAAGTTAGTCCATTATCATCTTGGTAGGAAGCATAGCAGTGTGCAGGCAGACATGGTGCTGGAGAAGGAGCTGAGAGTTCCACATCTAGATCCGCAGGCAGAGAATGTCCCACGAGGTCTGGCTTGAGCATTCCGAGACCTCAAAACTTACCCTTTAGTGATAAACCTACTCTAACAAGTTCATACCTCCCACTGCCTGACGCACACCTTTAATCCCAGTACTTGAGAGGCAGGTCGATCTCCAGGTTAGAGTCCCTGTGAGCATACCAGGTCATTTTCATTCAAACTACCACATCATTTTTTCTATTAAACACTGCACCTCTCCAACTTTGTTTTCATATATCTTTTATTTTTAATGACAGGAATGGAAAATTCTGCCCTCTTGAAATTATTTTCCTAAACTTGCCACCAACAAATACACTATCAGCCACACGTGCTGGTTCTTTTTGATCAAGACCTCAGGGATTGCAGCTTGTGCTGTGTAGTGATAAGTGGCATTCTACTAGAGCTTGGCAGTAAGGGGACAAGAAGCCCAGCAGCCTTCCGCGACCTGGTTTTTCTTGTTTTCCCTAACCGTGGTTAGAAATAAAGCCCCTTTGTTGTGCTAGAAATAGAGCAATAGTTATTTCACTGAGCAGCTTCTCCTACAGATGATTTTCATTTAGTAATGAGCAGAACAGACGCTCATGGGCAGGGTTTTCTAGACTGAGAAGAAGAGGATGCTTATTGATAAACTAGGAAGGAATTGATGACTAGTGTGAGTCATCATCTTCCCATCATAGGCTAAAACAGGGTTTATAGAGAGCACAGTCCAAGGGACAGCCTCAGAAGAGACAACAGGAGTTGAATTCATGTGCTGCTTCTTTTTTAAAGATTTATTTATTTATTATGTACACAGAAGAGGGCACCAGATCTCATTACAGATGGTTGTGAGCCACCATGTGGTTGCTGGGAATTGAACTCAGGACCTTTGGAAGAGCAGTCGGTGCTCTTAACCTCTGAGCCATCTCTCCAGCCCCAGGAGTTGAATTCAATGTGTTATGACTAGAACACGTGAACTGGTAACCCTGTGCTCCTGTGCCAAGGTGCTCATTTCCTTGTGAGTAGAAGTAATGAACCTAGTTTCTGAAATCAAGTCTCTGCAGGCAGACTGCCTTGATGGCCATTTGATTGATTGGGAACCTCAAGTCCTAGCCGATCCTCCATTTCCAGAGTACAAAGAGTTACTAGGATTGGGAACCGTCAGCATTTCTGGGCCTGTACAGTAAGACAGCTTGTGGTTATCGTTCCACTGAGAAGGGGCTCATGCAGCTTGTTGCCACAATTTTAAAGAGTCTGAACTCAAGCTAAAGGCTGGAGGAACTGATATCCCCAGTTTGATTATGGGATGATCCCTATCAATGTGACTGCATGGCTCATCTATCCCTTCTTGTTCATTCAGTGCCATGGTTGTTCACCCAGAGTGAAAAAGTTTGATTTTAGAGTATCTACCATCTTCTTTAAAGGTAGCACACCAAAGCCAAGTTGTTCTTGCCCAGATGCACCCTGACTCCTTGTCATTCCCAGGTATTTGATTGGAATAGCCATTCTTTAGGTGTTCGGCCTGAAACTTTGGGGTCATCTTTCCATCTTCCCTGGTGCAGAGAACTCAGCCTACCTTTCGTAATGGAACAGCAGGCAGTGCTGGTGTCTTCTGGGGCAGCCCTAGTAGAGCATTCCCTTTACTCAGAGTATTCGTTCTGCCTCCAAACTGGTTTCTTCTTTCAAGGGTCCCTTGAAGTTTTCATGACCTTTTAGTTTCTTATGCTGCCTCATAAATCCCCAGATAGCCCTTGAGATAGTTGTGTTTGGCCTCTCTGTTCTCACTTTTTGTCTGCCTTCATCTGTTTTACACAACAGTTTGGGTTTGAAAAGCCTTCTGATATGTGGCTCTGCCCCTTCTCCTCAGCTGACAGTCTTTGAGGGAAAGATGGTGTCTTAACTGCATGTGCATTGCCCATTCTGGTCTCTGGAGTTTTGTCTTGGATGCCTCTCCATCTGGAACCCCTCCTCTCTTGGGACTATAGTCCTGCTGCCTTTTCAGGCAGAGTTGAACTTCCTAGTTGGCACTCTGCTCAGGTGACACACAGTTTAGGATGCAGTGTATTCTTCTCTTTGATTCTTGCGTATGTGTTGCTTTCTGATGATGGAAATAGGGTCTGATGGTTGTTTTTCTCACTCTACTATTTATCCTGCCCCTGACTTAGTGCTTTGTTACTTTGCAAACACTTAATGATCATATTTTGAAGCACTTAATTGTATTTTTCTTTTTCTTTCAAACTATGTATGTGTGTGTGTTGTGCAGGTGTGCACCAGTACAAAGTCCATATTGAAAATATTTGAAGATTCTGAAAAACTACTAGAATAGTATAGTGACAAACCATGCATCCTTCATTCAAAACATCCCGGTTACTGTTTGTTTATGTATGTGTACACAGCACAGTCCTAGATCATTTAGAATTTAGCTGCACTTAACCATTGTACTTACACCCCCAAGTACATATATTCTGTGGGATATTTATTGCTCTATACAATCAGACTATGAGATTGCTCTCAGGAAATTCTAAGTTGGTACAAAAACATTATTTAAAATATATTACATATACAAGGCTTTGCAGTTGTTTGTAATGTTTTGCAAATGTTCTTTTTTTGCAGATTATAAATAATCTTTTATTTTTCATTGTTGTTTTGTCTTTTTGAGACAGGATTTCACTATGTATCCTTGGTTTGCCTAGAACTCTCCATTATCCTGCCTCAGCCTCCTGAAGCTGTGATTATTGGCATGGCCTTCAGGACTTATTTTTAAATTATTATTTAAAAATAATAAGAGGGTATGGTGGTGCACACCTTTAATGTGTGGGTGGGTGGTGCTTGCCACAGTGGGCATGTAGTGGTCAGAGGCCAACCTTACGGACTCTCTGACAACCTACCTGTGGATTCCAGGGGTTGAACTCTGGTTGCCAGGCTTTTTACCCTCTGAGCCATCCCACCCCTCCAGTAATGCTTTTTGTTTTGATGGTTTCTTAGATAGGCCAGGCTGGCCTGAAACTTAGAGGTCCACCTACCTCTGCTTCCTGAATGCTGACACTAGAGTCATCCACCACCATGGCCCAGCTTAGTGTTTATATAGCTGTATTTTTAGTTCACCTCTGCCTATTACAGCCACTTGTCATGTCCCTCTTGCTTCTTTCAGTATAGACCAATTTCCATAAAGTTTGTTATCTCATTTTGTTTTTTTGAGATAGGGTCTCACTGTAGCTCCAGCTGGCCTGGAACTTATTATGTAGACCAGGCTGGCCCTGAGATCTGCTTGTCTCTACCTCCTGAATGCTAGGATTAAAGGCATGTCCCACCATTCTTGGCTAATATTTGTTACCTTTTGTGACTTGTGAATAGTCAAGATCAGTGTTTTGTAGACTGTTACTTAATTTTTATTTGATTCATGCTAAACATGTTCTTCGGTATTTGAGTAGGGCCTTGTCTTTTTTTTTTTTAAAGCCACTTCTTTTTTTTTTTTAAATTATTTATTTATTATTCATTTATTCATTTATTATGTATACAGTGTTCTGCCTGCATGTATGCCTGCAGGCCAGAAGAGGGCACCAGATCTCATTACAGATGGTTGTGAGCCACCATGTTGTTGCTGGGAATTGAACTCAAGACCTCTGGAAGAGCAGTCAGTGCTCTTAACCTCTGAGCCATCTCTCCAGCCCGAGCCTTGTCTTTCTTAAGGCATCACATTATGAGGTTCTTATATGAATATATCCTGTCACCAGGCTGTGTTAGGTCATTTGGTAAGATATTGTCCTCCTGACCTTTTCATTATAGTAGTATTTGTCTTCTGATTTAATGATTTCATTTATTCTTTAATAATTTCATACATCCGCCGGGCGTTGGTGGCGCACGCCTTTAATCCCAGCACTCGGGAGGCAGAGCCAGGCGGATCTCTGTGAGTTCGAGGCCAGCCTGGGCTA